ACCGACCGAACGACGAAACGAACGGTAACGGTACGTACGCGTCGCGACGTACGTTCTACGTAGACGACTACTCCTCCTCGTCCTCCTACGCACTCTCTCTCTCTCTCTCTCTCTCTCTCTCTCTCTCTCTCTCCCCTATTGAATAGGAAAAACCAGTATTTCGCTCTAACTAATGATTCCTCTTTCCCTTGCCAAAAACAGTGTCGGATGATCAGCTCTCAATGTGAGGATTCTTTCTCTCTCTCTCTCTCTCTCTACACTTCTGCAGGGCCATTACTCAATTACTTGCGGTTGCACAATCAGCTTGCATTTCCTTTACGGGAAGAACTTTGAGAGAGCCACCAGAATTGTCGATCAAGCCGGTGTCAAGAAACTCTCCGCAAAACAGAGTGGACGTGCCCTTTTCCAGGTTTCTCTTCCACATCTTTGTTGTTTACTAGCTTCTTCCTTTTTGTTCCCCTTATTCTTATTTCTGCGGATTGCGTCACAATTCTTTTGGGCTCAATTTTAGATTCAAACTACATGATTACAGCTATTGATTAGGGCTGTTCTTTGCAACCTTTTTCTCAATCTTTTTATTGCTTGTGACCTGAATGTGGGAGGATGACCTATTTAAGTTCATGTTTGCTTACATATTTATGTTTATGAATATATCTTTAGTGTTCAGTAATCCGGATTTGAATATTTTCTGGCTATGGCTTCTTTCAATATGTTGAGCTGCTCATAATTACTCAGAGTTTCCTGACAAATTATTGAGTTTTTTATGGAATTGAATTAGTAACTTAGCTTTATAGTATATGATGTATTGTACTATGTGCTTCATTGCTGCTTGTTTACCACATTGGAGCCACATAATGTGAAAGATTAAGTTGAAAATTTATGCAACACCTCAGCCTTGAAGAGTGTTGAGAAAGAAAAGATAGGGAAGGTGCGGCCATCCTGAAGGGCCATAGACTTTCAACAATTTTTTTGGTGGGAGTTCCTCTTTGTTGCACTAGCCTAGAGTGATGCATATCAAAATTTGGGTGCTAGGATAATTTTACTGGTGTTGTTTGCCGGTAAATTTTATAGTGCATCATAGAGGAATCGTATGGGTCAACCATGGAATTGAAAGGAGCTAGTGGAGGGATCGAAAGACTGAGAAATTGGAACATGGGATTTGTATGGATTTGTGCTTTAGTCTTTAGTCAAATTTGGAAATTGGCCAACAAAGTATCAGAATTACAGGAGAGCAAAGGTTGTGCATCATGACTCTTGGCCTCGACTATAAAAAACTTGAATGTAGCGATCCATTGACAACCAGAGCAGATTCATAATCATCCTTGGTGCTAACTATTAAGGGACCTCTTCCTCTTCACGAATGCATGTCTCGCCTGATTCTAGAAGGGTGAGACGAATCATGGACGCGATACTGTATTTGAAGGAAATGATGAATGCAATGGGGCTAAGCTAAGTTTGTCAAATGGCTGGTTAAATGCGGCTAAGGAAGAAAATGAGAAGAAAGAAGGCTAAGAAAGGAGCAATAAGGGCATCAAAGGCAAGGGAAACACAGTCTTTTGTTGAGCAGTGTAACCTGTAATATCAATTATGGATGGAGCGGAATTAAGCATCGATGGTAAGGGAGGCGTCTCCGTTTGTG